CAGCTCCCTCCCCCTCCCTCCAGGTCCAGGAAGGCGAGCGTCCAAACAGACTGGATCCCCAAAATCCAGCATATGCAGAGGAAACAGGTCCCAGTGTCATAGTCAATGGCTTTTCAGAAAGACCCCGGGCCAGCCACAGTCAGAGAATCCGGCCAAATTCCAAGAATCTGGCTAGATCACGTCCTCGTTCAGTCCCAGTCCGACTGGCCCTGGTAAATTCTCATCAGATCCGTTCCCTTGTATCAGTGGGTGATAGCATCCCTCGCAGTACTGATTTCGTCTTTCATGTTCCTCCTCCTTCCGCTCCCCCTCCGGACCTCGGGGGGCTCAATCCGTTGCTCTAATGTGGGCCTCCGACTGCATAGCCATCCTTCGCCAGACGAAGGATCTATGGTGATAAGCAAAATATACATCAGTATGGTCATGGGCCACGGCCGATTCAGGCACCCTCTCCTCTGTCCAGAGAGCAATCTGGGGGATTTCTCCTTGGACCTGGGATCCCATATATAATCAAGTCTCCTTACAGGAGCTTTCTAACTACTGTCAGCGCACAGGCAAATGGAAGGAAATTCCTTACATCCAAGCTTTTTACTATCTAAGCTTTATGTCTAAGTCCTGTTCTTGCAAGTTGTTCACCTGCTCACACAGTCCTGGCTATGCCATCTGAACCAGAAGAATCCTCCACTTCTGCTGTGGACCCAGCTCAGCCAGCAGCTACCCTGCGGGGCGCATCCTGACCAGCAGGAATGAACGCCACCAAAAACGAGAATTCCTTCCCTGGTCACATCTTTATTTGGAGCATTCCCTTGAGGAAAATTGGGGGAAGGGAAGATAGAGCAGGGACGAGAGAAAGCTTAGAGAGAGAGGGTTGGGCCCAGAGGCAGCTGCTTTTAAGCGGTGGAGAGGCTTGAACGCTGTCCTGATTGGTTAATGCCATTCTGCTGTTCTGAGCATGTGCAGGCAAGGGTGCAGGCAAGGGTGCTCAGCCCCACGTGGCTACCTCCAAACTGCAGGACCACCTGTGCCTCCAGGTGGCTCACAACACTACCCCTATTCCTTCAACTTCTACCCCCATTCCTCAAGCCCCTACCAGTTTGTTTAGCTCCTACCGCTTTTCCTTCAGCCCCTACCTCTGTTCTTTTAGCACCTAATGCCACTCCTCCAGCTCCTATCCCCGTTCCTTCAGCTACTGCTCTGGGCTCTGCTAAGAAATCCACACCTTCCATACCTCAGCAGAGATACTTCCACTCCTTTACTTCCCTCTACCTTGCCACCTCCCTCTGTTTGCTGTTCCCTTGTCCCCCAGGGCTCGACTACCATCAGGCCCATGTTTCAAATGAGGTAGAACTGGTCGCTGGGCCTGAGCATGCCCTAATCCTCATCTTGGTCCTGTAAGACCTTGTCCAAGATGCCATAGAGAAGGACATTGGGCAGTCGATTGTCCTCATGCACATAGTGGCACGGAGACATCAAACCCAGAAAATTCACAAGTTGACCTTCTAGGTCTGGCTATGGACAAGTGAGGCTGTCCAGGCTCCTTTGACCTGACCACAACCATCATCTGTAACAGGGAGCCATGGGTAAACATCACAGTATCAGGGTAGCCCATCTTCTTTCTCTTGGACACCGGAGCCACATACTCAGTACTGAGGGGATTCTCGGAGCCTACTTCTCCTTCTAGTTTCTCTGTTGTTGGGGTAGGGGGACAGCTTTATCTACCTCAGCAGACCCCATCACTTACCTGCGTTTTTAGGGGTATTTATCTCACTCATTCATTTTTAGTCTTGCTGATCTCTTATGGGAAGAGACTTTTAAAGCAAAAGTAGGAGCTTCCATTTCATTTGTTCCTTCCATTCACTTTACCCCAGACTCACCAAGAGCTCTCCTCCTCCTCTTTCTAGACTCCCAACCTCCCAGCTTCAATGTGTCTTTTCCTCTGCCAGCCTATCATATGACCCCCCCCCCAAGTCTGGGACACATAAAACCCCTCTGTTGCTAAACACCTTCCCCCATCATTATCCAATTGCAAGACTCTACTAAGTATATTACCCAAGCTCAGTACCCTCTCTCTCCAGAGCCTTAGGGGACTTAAGCCTTTATCTCTGACGGTTTAAGAAAAAAGCTACTTTGCCCCATCTCTTCTCCCTTTAGCACTCCTACATTTGCTGTTAAAAACCTAATGGAACCTATCGCCTGGTTTAAGACCTCCGACCCATTAACTCTGCAGTGGTCCCTCTCTCCCCTATCTGATTTACCAACTTCTTTATATCTCCAATGTCATGCTTAAATTTCCAGTTAACCACACAGCTGTTATTACAGGGACCATCATTAAACATCGAGCCAGAGGTGCAAGAATTGCCAAGAGCCCAGGTGGTAAGAAACAATAATGAGTTTGGGGATATTCACAGCCCCAATAACCAGTTGGGGACATTCACAGCCCCAAACTCCCCCAAACTCCCAATACAGACTTTAACATAACAGGTTTATCACTGACTGCAGCAGTGTCTCCTGGATGTTAAGGTAAAGAGAACAAGTGCCTTAAGATTTGCTTCAGGTAAAACATTGAGTGGTCTAATAATTCCCCTTTCCAATAATTCCCCCTTGTTTACCTTCCTTCTTCCCACCGTCTTCCATTCCAACACTATATCACTGTAATCATAAGCTTTTAATATGTCTAAAATTTATTTCTTTTCAAACATTTTTTTCATAAGCTTCAGGGAGCCAATTGGACCTACCTAAACGTACCAGACTTGCCCAGAATAAGTATCATTTAATTCTTTCTTTATCATTTCTGGTCTTTGGAACCTATGGGAAATTTCCCCCTCCACCCTCCCTCCAAAAAACAAAACCCTCTATCTTCCATCTTGGGACTCTCTTCCCTTAGTCACTGAGATCTAAAATTTTTTCAGACATAATTTTCTGCCTTTCCAGCATCTTGCAAGGTCCAAGCTGCCAACCAGCCAGTTCCACAGAGCCCAGAAAAAACACAAAACTAATCAGTCACCCCAGGATGTGGGTCAAGCATCTCAACTCTCCGGCACCCACAAAATCAGCATGAAGCAGTCACAAGAGACCTTATGATGCCCCATTCCCACCCATTAAAAACCCAAAACTCCCCAAATTTTTATAATAAACAAAAGGGTACAATGTAATGATTTCAGCCACACATGGCTGATACTTCCAGGTTCTAGGTGTCATGAAGGTGCAGACAAGCCCTCAGGCAGAAGTGCCTAATGGCCCCCAGGGATACTAAAGGGCCTTGTGTGATCCACTTATGACTCAGTTAAGCCTTTGCATGCCTGTGTAAGTCCTGTCATCTGCGTATGAAGTAGCCACATCAACCCACTGTGAGCAAGTGCTAGGCAGCTTTTAAAAGCTGGACATGCCATCCCTTTCTCTGCACACTGACTTTCCAGGCCTGTCCACACCCCCTCTAATAAACCCCTAAGTGGGTTTGTTGTGTGTTCCGTGTTTCTTTCTCACTTGCACCAGGTAATTTCAGGGGTGACCCACCAGAGCAGGGGTGACCCGCCAGAGTAGGGGGATCTCTGCCAGCGCCAGGTGCAGCCAGGCCTTCCTGGTGTAGGCATTACAGCAGAATATGTGCAGGATGATAGTGAACCTGTCCAACACATGGACGCCCCAGGCAGTCTGCAGGGTCTTCTGCCAGGAAATGGGAAACAGGGGTTAGGGGAAGGGGTGAGGTTGGGATATAGGTGCCAGGAGTCAGGGAGCAGGGGAAGGGGTGAGGCTGGGACACAGGAGTCAGGATGAGGGGAATCAAGGTCCAGGGGTCAGAGGAACAGGTGAGGCCAGGACACAGGGGTCAGAGACCTGCGCATAAAGAAAGGGGTAAGACCGGGACTTGAGGCTCAGAGGGAGGGGTGAGGTTGGGACACAGGAGGGTCAGGGGATGCAGGGACAGAGGAAAGGATGAGGATGGGACATGGGACCAAAGGAAAGGATAAGGTTGGGATACCAGAGTGTGGGACCCAGGGGGACCGGAGAAAGGGGTGAGGCTGGAACATAGGGGTCGGGGGAAGGGGTAGAGTTGACACACATGGGGTCACAGGTCACAATCACACACTCCATACCTTGGTCAGAGCTGTCATCCTCTCTATGTTCAGAAACACACACATGATGTCCACAGATTCCTTGGTCTTCTCTGAGGAGTAGGGGAGGGTCTGTAAGGCGCAGGCAAGTCTGGGTGTGCACATGCTACATACAGAGGGAGGCACACGCATGTGCACACTGAGGACCACACACAAGCTACACACAGAGGGGCAAACATGCGTGTGCATGATGAGAACCACACACAAGATACACGGAGGGATGCACAGGCATGTGCATGCTGAGGAACACTGTAACACTGCACAGCGGAAAGCACACACATGCACAAAGATGGAAATACACACAAAGGGGCACACACAGAGGGAAGCACACACACATTCACATAGCAAAAACATGCATGCATACACAAGCACATCAGGTAGGGCATGGGGCGTATCACATGAAAGGGCGGGGCTTACTCACCCATCAGCTGGTAAGTTTCCCTTGCCAAAGACAAACTTGCTGTCTGGGAACCCCCGTGAGCACCACCAGGGTCTGCACCACCGACCTGCCGTGCAATGCACGCACCAGCGCGGCGGCCTCGCCACCTGACACTTTATGTGGGGGCAGACAGAGGGTAGGTGGCGTCCTTCGGGGCTGCAGCTCACATGGACTATGGGGAAGCTCGGAAGGACCCTGGGGCGGATTGGATGGATCCCAGGGAGGCTGGCATACACTAACCCCTCCTGCCCCAACACAAACTCCTCCCCACGCTGATGCCCATAGTAGTTTCCCTGTCTCCTGTGCGCCTCCCTGGGCGTCCACACCACCTTTCTCCTCATACCCCCTCTTCTGCACCCCTGCCCAGTCAGCCTGTCTCCTCCCGCCCCAGCCCTCCACTGACCTGTGTTCCGTCTACCCGTCTCTCCAGGTCCCGACTCTCCTGGTCCCACCTCCTCCCTGTGTCTGCGTCTTCCTTTCCTCCCGGCCTCTGACGTCAGGATGCAGGACGCACACGCGCTGGGCTACAGCGTTTCCGGGCTCAGCAGCTCTCCCTCCTCCTCCTCCTCGGGTTCTTCTCCATCCTTCCCCACCACCCCGGCCCTGCTCTCCCAGCTGCGGACGTGGGAGCCGCTCCTAACTCCGCGGCAGGGACTCCGGATGTCAGCGATGATTGCGCGGACCGGCCGTGACGGCACGGCTGGGCATAGCGAGGGGCCAGGCCGCGTCTAAGCAGGAGCCTTAGCCCTGGTAGCAGGGCAGGGCGCGTGACCGCCATTCGGGGGGCATGACCGGAGGAGAGGGGCGGTGCCTGGAGTGGGAGGAGCTGACAGGGGCGGGGCCAAAAGGGACCAGGACGCCGGGGAGGTACCGGGTGTGACAGGAGAGGCGGGGCCTGAGAGGGTGGGACGAGCAGCGACTCTGCGACTAAGCAAGAACGTGAGCCCTGGAGGACGTGCCAGTGCACGCGCATTGGGGACTGGGGCTGGGCCGTTAGGTGTAGGGCGAGCGGCCAGGGAGGGGAGCTAGAGCCAGAGACCCTCAGGAACAGAGAACTGGAGGCGTGAGCGCTCAAAGGCGGCGGGGCGGGACTCCCAGCGACTGCCCCAGAGATCGGCTTCTGTTTGGCGGACGGCGGGTCCCAGCCTGCACGCGACTGTTCCAATCCGGTCCGGGGTAAAGGATACCTACCAAATCCAGGAGGCTTGCCTACAGCAAAGGGCTGGGTACTGTGACGTAACCCGCTGTGTGGGACATAGGACACGCATATTCTTAGCCCCAGCTGCAGTGCAGTCCCACAAACCCTTGCCACAGCCAAGGTGATGTATGTGTGCGTGTGTATGAGTCTCAGCTGAGGTGACGTGTGTGTGTGTGTGTGTGTGTGTGTGTGTGTGTGTGTGTCGCTCAGGGCCGTTTGTGTGGGGCTCAGTCACGTCCCTCAAGTGGGTTCCTGGCACAGAACTCTGGTGACGGTTGACCGTGTGCATTTAGCTGTGGAGACGCTAACCCATCTTCTGACTGCGTTGCCTGTGTCACACATGAGCATTTGACTGTGTGCTGCCCCATGTCACACATGAGCTTCTAACTGCGCTGCCCATTATCCCACGCGAGCATCTAACAGAATATGGAGTGACACACACGGGCCACAGATGGTGATAGACGGTGGACCTGCCCACTTGTTCTGTGTCTTTTTGTCCTCTGAGATCAGGAACCACACCAAGTCCATGTAGCTGATTTTCCCATCCTGCTGCACCTTCCAGCCTGTGTGGAGGTCAGGGAGCATGGGACCTCTCATGGGGTTTGGATAACTGCTACACCCACCACTCACAGTGACGAAACCACCCACTGACAGTAACGTGATCGCCCACCACCAACATTGACATGGGACATGTAGTCCAAACAGCAGCAACAGGGCAGAAGGTATCACATTTTCCGTGACCTTGGTCAGGTGATGGAGACCAGAGACTGTGACACTGACACTACGTGAAACCACTCCCCTACCCCCCACACCCCCGCCACCTACTGGACCTCACATGATGCAGCACAGAAGCACCTACCACATCACGGTACCTGAGAAGATCCTGTCAATCATCTGGGAGGAGATGGCAGCAAGAAAAGCCGGTCGGGGTAGTGTTTACACCTGATGGCTGGGACCTGGCTCTGCCCCACCTCTCCCTCAGTCATTCCCCTGCCCTCCACCCCAGGGCCTGCCCCTTCATTCCTGAACACAGCCCCTCTATCCCAGGCCCCACCTCTCTATCTAAGTACTACTTTCCATACCTGAACCCTGCTCTCTGCCAATGGCTCTGCCCTCCACCCCACAGTTTCGCCCCTTGATCTGACAGCCCCACCCCTTCATCCATTAGCTCTGAGTCTCCATCCCTGAAGCCTGCACTCTGCCCCAGGCCCCATCTCTCCATCCCACAGTCCCTCCCTCTGCCTAAGACTCGGCCCCTTAACTGGCAACTCCACCCTCCACCCCAGGCCCCACCCTGTCCAGCTCAGGTCCCGCCTTCCACTTCACAGCTCTACAACCCCACCTTCTGCCCCAAGGCTCCACTGGAGGCACTGTCCTCACCCCAGGCTCCACCCCTCCCAAGCTCACTGTGATCTTTGTGCAGCATCCATGCCCCTATACTTCTGAGCTCCACCCTCACCTGAGGTTCCACCTTTGTCCCCACCGAAGCTGACATGGTCATTGTGCCTATCCAGGTCAAGTGCATCAAAGAACAGGTCATGACTGTGTCCAGAGTAGATGATGTAGAAGTGCTCTTAGGAAAAGAAATTGGTCAGTTGGGTGATGTCAGGCTTTTCTTCCAGCAGCGCCATATTCTGTAAGGGGTGCCACAGTCAGCCATGCCCTCTCACATTTTCCATGGGGACCAGGGGTGTGTCTCTACTTGGTGGACAAGAAGTTCACAGTGGGGGTGCTGCTCCATAACTGCAGGCCACGCCCTTTCACGTGGTCCACTTAGACTGTGGGTGTTATGGATTTGCTGTGGATCCCGAGAGCAGAGGGGGCCGGGTAGCTGTTCCTGAGAGCAGTCAGCCCCGGGCTGCAGATCTCCAAAGGTGGCTGATCCCCTGGGTGTCCCTGGCGGCTAGCCATGTGGGCGGCGGGTGGGCAAGGGGCAGATAGGCACACCATGCAGATGGGTTTGCTGCAAGCTGCCGGGGTTCCAAGCAGGGATGGCGCACGAGACCAGGCGGACAATCTCCATGTGACTGCGGTCCTGGGCGAGAGAGACGGATAAACATACCATACCATAAATAAAGTTAGACATTTATTAGATGGGTTATGGAGGGGAAGGAAAAGGGGGGAAAGGGGGAGAGACAGAGAGAGAGACAGAGAGAGATGGGGGAGATGAGGAGAGAGAGACAGGGGGAAGCGGAGATGTGGGGAGAGAGGCCCCTTCGAGAGAGGAACAGGTAGAAGACAAGTGGAATTTGAGGCTGCAAGCAGGAAGAGAGTGGGCCTGGCTTGTCTCTTAAAGGGATAGAACAATCATTACAGTGGGTATGTCCACTCTGGGTGACCAGGAAGTTCACAGATGGTCTACCCCCTAATGGCCTCACACATAGTGGGGGAGTAGGTAGGATCTGGTAGGCCACACCCCCTACTGGCAGGCCATACCCCCCCACACACACACACACAGAAGAAGTAGAAACTGGGTGGCCCAGCCCCCTGCCTACAGTTCAAGGCCTCACATAGGGAGGGGGAGTAGGAAGGTCCTTGGAGGTCCCACCACTGCTACAAACTGAAGAATCTTTCAGTAATTAAAACCACTTTCTTTTCACAAGGCAACTAATCAGAGCCAAGAGCTTTGATGGATGTTTAAACCAAGATGCAGGTCAAACTGACATTATTGTCTTGTGAATTAAGTGGTTGTTTTGTTTGTTTGTTTGTTTGCTGTAGATTTTTCACTATAACTGATTCCCCTTCTGCTACAAATTTGGGGATTCCTACATTTCAGACCTATTTGATCATTTACTGAATACTGTCTTTCCTATACTTTGGGGTTTAGTGATTACACTTCCGGAGCTACATGTAAAAACAGTTTCCCACTGCCAGGCTCTTCTTTCTCCTATGTAAATGCAGGGATCTTCCTTCCTGCAATTACTTTTATTGACAGGCAATTGGTCAGTGTTTAGGGTGCAGGGAAAGCATTTCATTTAAGATATTCCCAAATATCCAAACACACAGAATTACCACTTACTCAAAGTTATTCATTCATAGCCGCTCGGAAATTTAGAAAACAAAAAAAGCATACCCTCACCTTCATCTCAGTTTACTGATGATTTTATTTCAGGAAATGTACTGTTTGTGTTCTACTCTCAGGGACAGCAAGAAAAAATAATTAACTATTTGTCCACACCCCAGAGAAAGACATCCTTCCCACTGGTAAGACAGACCCACAGCACTGGCAATCAGAGTGGCTGATAAACATCATACCCAAGAGCTGATAATTTTGGGTGCTGGGTTTCTTCTTTGTTTCTACTGCTTAGAGCAAAGGTGTAAACTTCAGATCTAAAAGACCCTTAGAACTTGCAACATTTGGTGAACATGCTAATAAAGCAAGGGTCAGAACTTTCCCTGTTTGTTTACATATGTTGCCTGGTAACCCAATACTATCTATGCATGCTGGAAGGGGAAAAAAGTGACACACTGATTAAAAAGACAATTCTTGACTCATTTGTAACTAAACTGAAAATTAACTTTTTATCCCTTTAACCAATTGAAAATGTAATGTAGCACACCAGTCTCCCCTTCTACAATTCCCTGATGATTTAATGTCTTTCTTAATTACCTTTCCTTTACCTTAAAGAGTTCACTAAACCACTTCTACCTTTGAGCTGAGAACCACAGATTTGTGTATGTTTGTAAATCCTCATCTATCTTTTATAGCACTAAAGAATTCTAGCCCTGAACCCGACTAAGGCTGGGGAATTGAACATTTTTTAACAAAAAAGAACATTTAAAAAGACATGCTGAAGAAGAATCACATGAGTTATTTCATTTATCCCTTCAGATTTCTTTAGCAATTTTTCCTTCAGCAGCTATAAGGCCTTAGCTGAACGTTAATGGTGTCTAAGGGGTTGGTACCCCAAGGGACCTCACTTATTTTTATTAAGAACAATTAGAATTCAGACTACATATGGTGCCAATCTTTGTGGGTAATGATTCACAAAAAATTCACTAATATGTGACTTTATAGCTACTGACATAGGCTGGAAATACACATGACCAGAGTCACCACCCTGTCTGCTAGGTTTTCCTTTCCTCTCTTCTGGTGGGCTTTCCCTGGTCCTCCTTCTTGGGCTGCTGCCAAATAGATAGTTGCCTTGAAATCTGGTCAGGCTTTTACTGTTCTGTGCAGCAGCAACAAGCCTCACATC